AAGAACAAGGCAGACGCACTGAGTCGCCCTGCACACGTTGCCGCCTTACAAATCGATGGCATGAACCCACTTCTGAAGGGACTCTTCACGCATGGATACACCATCGACCCCGAAGTCTCTGTAGCAGAAAAGCGCCATCTTCTACATTGGGATCAAGACATCGCATACCGCAAGGGCTCCACAAAAATATGGGTACCTAATTACCCTCCCTTACGCCAGTTGCTGCTCGAAGAATATCATGATGTTCTCTACGCGGGCCACTTCGGTAGTAACAAGACGCTTGCCGGTATTGCGAAGCATTATTATTGGCCCCACATGGCGGATGACGTACAAAAATTTGTCACCTCGTGCGACACATGTCAACGGATGAAGAGTAGCAAACAGAAGAAAGCGGGATTACTACAGCCTCTTCCAGTCCCTAAACAGCCTTGGCAAGTGGTTAGCCTCGACTTCATCACCGGGTTACCACCTACCAAAGCTGGTTACGACGCCATTCTAGTCATCATCGACAAATTCTCCAAAATGGGACACTTCATTCCGACACACACAACGGCTCGCGTCGAGGAGACAGCGCAAATATTCTTCCACTACGTCATCTCGCAACATGGCATTCCAACCACGCTGATCTCTGACAGAGACCCGAAATTCACGAGTAAATTCTGGAAGGAGCTCATGTCGCTCATGGGGACCAAACTCGCTATGTCATCAGCCTATCATCCCCAAACGGATGGTCAGACAGAGCGCCTCAACCAGATTGTCGAACAGCTTCTGCGAGCAGCATGTAAGGACGATATCTCTAAATGGGATGCACATCTGCCGGTTCTCGAGTTTGCGTACAACAACGCCACGCACGCCGCAACAGGGAAAACTCCTTTCTTCCTCTGTTACGGTCGCAACCCACTCACGCCTCAGAAACCAATAGTACCTGCCACGGTGCAACCCGCACATGACTTCATTTCCACTATGCACCAATTGTGGGAGCGCACGCATAAACGTCTTCTGACTATCCAGCAGCAACAAAAGAAGCTCGCTGATCGGAGTCGCAACGATCATTCTATCCAGATTGGCGATCAAGTGCTTCTGGATACACGCAATCTCGACATTAGCCATCTTCCGTCTAAGCTCCGACCTCGCTTCTGCGGACCTTTTCTCGTCGAGGCGCAGGTCACTCCAGTAACCTTCCGCTTGCGTTTACTAGCTACCTGGAGGATTCACAATGCCTTCCATGTTCAACTTCTCAAGCCCTATCGGGACCCAAACACGGTCTTCAAAGGTCGCCAGTCGCCGCCGCCACTGCCAGTGATCGTTAATGGGGAACCCGAGTACGAAGTCGAAGCCGTTCTGGCGCACCGACAACGACGTAGCGGCACCTTGGAGTTCTTGATTCGTTGGAAAGGCTATGATCCTTCCGAGGATACCTGGGTACCTGAACACGACATGGATAACACCCGCCGTCCTCTGCAGGACTACCTTGTCAAGCAGGGTGTTACTTCTACCACCCAGCTTTGAGGGGGGGAAGTGTGAGAGGACGTCCCCGTTATAATATTTTCTCACTATTATATTTTTCCGTTATCCTATTCTCCCTTTTCTCCTCTTTATTTTGGTCTTTATCTCATCTCAATCGGCCTACTATTCTATTCTCTAGAGCCTTCTATTTATTTCTCTTATTTCCTACTTTTCCCACCGACATACCTATTATACGGCACCGACAGCGCCGACAGTGGTGTATACGGTGTAATCTGGGCGTAATCCCAAGTGCCAATAGACTTGCGTGCTTATGCGCACTTGTGATTGTAGTATCGGGAAGGGTGTGTTCCCGAAGGTTCGTTTGATCTCGTTTATCCTTGTACTTTCTGAGTATAAATAGGCCTTGTATTCAGTTTTAGTGACAAGTTTCGATTGAGAATTCGATCCTGTGACACGACGTCTCCCATTGGGGGCAGACGCCGCACTGACCGACTCAAAACCAACTAGGTCGGCCGTAGCAGCAGAGGCGACAGAGGGCAGGAGGGGGGAGGGGAAACACCCCTCAAAGATGGGGATGCGCGGGTCACCACGAGAGGCCCCTACAGCGAGAATGCTCTTCTCGGCTGCTAGGAGGGACTTCTCGAGGATGTTAACAGTGAGAGTGGTGGGGCAGACTGAGAGTAAGTCGTCCCTGACTCCGCGGAGGGAGTCAGGGAGGCGGGTGACAATGTAGTAGAGAGTGAAGTACTGAGGGGGGGGGTTCTTGGCGCAGAACTCAGCAGGAAGCGCAGCGCGGAAGCGAGCGTCACTAGTGCGCAGGTGGGTAATGAGGTCGGCGACTATGGCAAAAGAAGCAAGGTCGGGAAAGAGGTACGGTAGCATGAGGCGGCTCAGTGCAGCAGTGACAGGGGTGGAGTAGCATGCAATAACGGCGTCGTACAAGGTCTGAGCACTCTTGTACGACCCAAAGTGTGCACGCTCAGAGGGAGGGAGGTGGCGACGCACAGCAAGACGTGCAGCAGCATCGCGTGTGGCCCACACTGAGCGAACAGTGGCATCCTCAGTAGCAGCAGGGGCGGGAGAGGCACCAGAAGTGAGATCAAAGAGAGAGAGGCCGTCAGCTCTGTCGCACTTTAGGAAAAGCAGCAGGTCGTCTACCCACATGTCAAAGTCTATGGCTCTGCCCTCAGCGTCGAAGGTGAGGACACTGGGGGTAGCCATGACAGCAGTAGGGTGAGGGCAGTGCGCAGAGTAAAGCTCAGTGCTCACCAGACAGGGCAGTGCAGGCGGCTCGGGCGGCTCGGGCGGCTCGGGCGGCTCGGGCGGCTCGGGCGGCTCGGGCGGCTCGGCGGGTCGGCTGCTGGGCGGCTTAGGCGGCTCGGCGGCTCGGGCGGCTCGGGCGGCTCAGCTGCTGGGGCGGCTCGGCTGCTGGGGCGGCTCGGCTGCTGGGGTGGCTTGGCTGCTGGGGCGGCTCGGCTGCTGGGGCGGCTCGGCTGCTGGGGCGGCGCAGTTGCTGGGGTGGCGGGGCCGGGAGATGCAGCTGCGGGGCCGTTAGGGGTAGTGGCGGGGCCGGTAGGTGAAGCGGCGGGGCCGTCAGGTACAGCAGCGGGGCCGGCAGGTGAGACGGCGGGGCCTGCAGATGCAGCAGCGGGGCCGTCAGGGGTAGCGGCGGGGCCGGTAGGTACAGTGGCGGGGCCGTCAGAGGGGACGGCGGGGCCGTTAGGTGCAGCGGCGGGGCCGTCAGAGGGGACGGCGGGGCCGTCAGGTGCAGCGGCGGGGCCGGCAGAGGGGACGGCGGGGCCGTCAAGCGCAGCTGCGGGGCCGGCAGAGGGGACGGCGGGGCCGTCAAGCGCAGCGGAGGGGCCGGTAGAGGGGACGGGGGGGCCGTCGTAGGCGTTTGCGGGGCCGTCAGAGACGGCGCCGGCGTCGCGAGGGTCAGAGGGAGGCGGCGCGCGACTGGAGGGCGGCACGCGCGATGCGGCGCGGCCGTCTAGGGGCGGCGCGACGAGGCCGCGTAGGTGGCGCGTAAAAAATTCACGGGCGGCTCGACGCGATCGGGCCGCCAAGGGAAAAAAAAGGCCCAGCGCGACTCGGGCTAGGGCAGAGCGCGCTCCGGGCAGGACGGAATAGTAGGTGGGCCTTAGGAACAGTTCCCACTAGGGAACCTGCTCGATACCATGTTGAGATAGAGGCGAGGAATGGGTGCACTATGAAATGAAACAAGTACAAGTACCAACCCTAATTGGGTTGTACCCCCTATGGGCTACCCCACTACAGCCTAAATATATGCATCAGTAATATAATCATCTGACACGCTCATGATGGGCACTGACCGAACACCCGTTTCCTCCACGGTGGTGGTGGTGTGCATCTCCAGCCAGAGCGGCGGCTGGTCCCCGTTGATGATCCACGCAGTCTTGATGTCGCGCTCGCTCATTTGGGGCCTTGTTGGAATTCGGTTCGGAGAGGTATTCGTCAAACGCCGATGGGAGCAGCAACGTGAGCTTGGGCTGATTGCCAGTGTGCCGCGGAGACACCGGACATGGAGGAGACGAAGGCACAGGAGGAATAGGAGGCGCAAGAGGAGCACGAAGCGCAGGAGGAGCAGGAGGCGCAGGAGGATGTGGTGGCTCTGGTGGTTCTGGTGGGATACGGGAGTACCACCCGTCAGCGTCAACTGTATACGCGGGCCTTCGCGTAGGTTTCTTCTTGAACAAGAAGTGTGTGCCGGTGACTTCCGCCATGGCTTCCGCACCCAAGCGGGAGAGAGCAAGAAACTGAATGAGAAATTGGGAGAATGGGAGAAGAAATGAAAGACTGAAAGAGACCCCTCCTGGTTAGTGGCTCGGGGTCCTCGTTGGGGAGAGACGGGTACCCCCCTGCCTGAACCTAGAGAGGTGGGTATCGCGGCACGTACCTGCTGCGCTGGCAGGGCAAATTCCACCCCCTTTTCGATGGTTCGAGTGAAATGCTGCTGCCTGGCATCGCATGACAACGTGATTAGGCCGCACGGCAAGTTTTACGTCAGCGCTGGCAGGTGCGTTGCTCCGAGACGGGCTTTGTGCGGTTGGAAATCGAAGCGCGGCAGTTTTCGGCGGGATTTCATGCATGATCCCATGTGCACGGTACAGAGTTGTGTTCGCCTTATTGAGGGCTTCAATTTTAGTGCCATTACTCAATTACAAGCGCCGCCCCTAAAAATATATGAATTTATTATAAGCGCATGCATAAGCGCCTACATCTGGGGTAAAACTGTACGGTATTACGGTATATCTCCTCATTGTTTATGCCGTCATCGCCCAGATATAAGACAGTGTTGAATAGTAGACAGGGGTTGTCTACTATACGGGTGTCTCTTATAGACAGGCTAGCCTTTTTATACGACACCTATTTGTGTGTACGAGTTAAGACATATATGTCTTATAATCAGAACCAGGGTTTAGGGGTTTTTCTAGAAACAGGGGGTGTCTTCTAAACGAGCCTTCTTCACTTTAGGGGGGTACATGCATACATTCATGAATCTCTACTTCTACCTAACCCCCCTCAGTCACCGCCTCCTCGCCTGCACTAACAACAGGCTCTACATTCAGGTCTGGCACTCGCCAGGCATGCCTAGCCGTCTCCCTAGGCTCGATCATGCGGTCAGCCTCGGCCGCCGCTCCGCGGTAGTTGGGGGTCTCCTGGTATAGCACCTCCAGGCCGGTCGCCACTGCCACCTCCCGCACGCCCTCCGCCTGCATCGCCTCCTCCTCCTCCTCCTCCTCTGGAGCCCGACCAAGCATGCGCGTGTTGTCGCCTGTGGTCCCCCCGAGGGACATGTCGGCGGAGACATCAGTGGTGCTCCTGGCGCGCAGGTGAGACATCACCAGGTGGTTCTCCGTTCCGTCCAGCTTGCTTGAGATCCGACAGTGGCGGAACGCGTCGATGATGAACTGCTTGGAGACTTGATCCCAAGCCTCCGCGATCCACTGCAGCAGCACGGGGTGGGGCGGCCTCCGCAGGTTCCCTGCGGATGGATTTGAGGACAGGGCAGTGAGATGTTAGAGACACGGACATAAAGGAGCATGTTTAAGACAAGGACAGGAAACAGAATAGGAATAATATCGTAAATGAAGGACCAACTCACCCTTCTTCGTCTTCAGGTGAATCCACTCACGCATGAACCACCTGGCGTAGCGCGCTCGCACAGCAGCCTTGAAGCACCGGTTGATGAAGACGTCCAGGGGTTGAATCTGGCTCGTACAACCTGCTGGGATGACTGCAGGGGTAATGTTGTGCGTGCGGTACGACTGAAGCATGGTCTGGGTGATGTGACCGCGGTAGGAGTCCAACACCAGCATTGCACGCATCGCGTTCTGGGGGCTCAGATGGGGCAGCACCTCCTTGGACAGCCAGGTCTGCACAGCGCTCTCGTCCATCCACCCGTTGTCTTATGCTTGGACCACGATTCCTGCCAGGCACACAAGGGACAGACGAGCTTCAGCACAGTGGGGCACGCTCATCAGGCAGTCGCATGGTTGAATTCATTACGCTTACCTTCCGGAATCTCACTGTTGGGGACGCTCTTCATCTTGAACCACACCCACGGCCGCAACTTCTCCCCGGATGCAGTGCACGCGAGCATCACCGTCAAGCGCGTTTTTTGGTAGCCTGCAGTGCGGATTGGGACCGAGCGCGCGCCGGGGTGCTCGATCGTCCGTTCGTTTGGCATCTCCACGAATAGTGGAGTCTGGTCCGCGTTGATGATGCGGGCCAGGTCGATGTTGTGCCGCGCCCTGTTGATGCGCACGAACTTCCAGAAGGACTCGCAGTCCTTCGCGCACTCTGCAAATGGTACACGTGCAACGGAAACACGGGATGGTTAGACACTGGGTGAGGGACATGCATTCAATAGCCCGCGCGCGACACGAATTCCTTCAACACACACCTGCCGACAGTCGTTGGCCGACCTTGGTCTTCACCCACATCACCAAGTTCCAGCGGTCACGGAAACGCTGGCTCCAGTGAGAGCTCGCGTTCTAGTTCTTGCCGGTGTGATGCTTCTTTATCCACTCGCGGCTCCACTTCTGGGTGTCCTTCACCGAGATGGCCACCCCGTTAGCGCGCTGAAGGCAGATGTAGCGGTACAAAGCTGCCTCCATGTCGGGGTAGTGTGAGTGGCGCCCCCCCCCGTGCATCCGCTTGCGGCAGTTAGCCGCGCCCTTGTAGACGCCCGCAGCCGCCTCCGCACTCCAGCGACTGATGCAGGCGATGGACGCGGTTGACTCCACGCTCGTCTTCTTCAAGGAGCCGAGCTCCAGATAGCGCCGCGCCCACTTAAGCTTCTCACGCACGGTCCAACTGCGGCGCTTCCTCGTAGTGTCCTTGCTGCGAGGGGAAGGTGGGCGGGTGTTGGGATTATGGAGGGTGGCGTCCTTCGGCGTGACCTTCTCAAGGAACGTGGGAATCGGGCCCGCCGCCGCCGCGTACTCATCGTCGCTGCCTAGAGTCTCGTTCACGACGATGTCGTGAGGATTCGGCGCCTTCTTCGCCTTCTTCTTAGCCGCACCCTTGCTAGATCTTGGATCTCCGTCGGATGTCCGCTTCTTGTTGCTTGTGCGGCGACGAGCAGGGACCTTAGCAGGGGCTTCCGCGACCTTGGCTTTTCCCTTCTCCGCAGCGGTGAGTTTCGGGCGACGCTCCTCCCCCGGACTGTCGTCGTCAGAGAGCACCACAAGGGCCCGCTTTGACTGGGACTGTAGGCGATGGCGCACCCTCCGCTTCAGTAGCGGAACGTCGTCGTGTGTCCCAAGGCTCCATGGGTCGTTGTCACCGCTTTCATCGTCAAATAAGACGGCATCCGCAGCAACCGTGTCCGACTCTGCCACAGCATCCGCATCCACAATTGCGGCCGCGCCGTCTTCATTCTCCTCATTTGCATCCATCGCCGCTTCTTGTGCATCCGCCGCTGCCTCCGCGTTGTCACCACTCGCATTTTCACCTCCGTCGTTGTCCGAATCTCCAGCCCGCCACTCTTCCACCTCGTCGTCGCTCCCGACCGGCCGATTCCACCATTCGTCCTCCTCGATGTCGGTAGGACCTAATTCGTCGCCCGAAGCGCTGTCGTCGTGGCCGTTCTCCGGCCAATCCTCCTCGGCGTCGTCGCCGTTCGCTTCTTCTCCGTCGTCCCCGTCACAGCTCGCACCGGAGGCCGCGGTAGGACTTCCCGCCTTGCTCGCGTTCTTGGCCAAGGCTACACGGATGTCATCGCCCGTAGTTATTCACCTGCACGTGAGGACGAGGAGAGGACGAGCCTGGGGGTACTTTGCTGCGCATGGTTAGAAAGCCTGCCGAGAGCAAGGTTGAGACGAGTATTCCTAAACCCTTGAGCACCAAATGAAGTGAGAGGCCGACTACCCCCCCCCCAACCAGAGTGCCCCATCCACAGGTGCCGAGCCGCTCCTCTACGAGGCATCTCCTCGTAGAGGACAGCCCTCACGCTGCCAACGTGCTGCCAGCAGCGTTCTGGAAGCATCCCTGTGCTGCTGGTAGCAAAACGACGCTGGCAGCAGCATTAGATGCTGCCAGCACAGAGGAATATTGCCAGCGGTGGCAGCTCCCTCACGTGGCAAGTGTGGGCGCTGCATGCATCACCACCGAGGTCGGCCTTTTTCAATGAATCTGGTCTCTGAGTGTTTTCTACACACTTTCCCTACCGACGCTGCCATTCCCATGAAGCGGCATCACGATTCTCCTTATGCTGCCCGTACAGCCAAATAATGACTGAGCTCCTGCCACCTCTTCCCCCCTCCCTCCTCCAACCGTGCTGCCCACCTCTTGGAGCTGCACCACTGCCGTTGCCACGCCACCCTTTCCTGGAAGGGAAAGGGGTGTTCCCTCCTTGCCATCCCTCTCTTCCCCACTTCTTCCCTTTCCTCCTCTCTCCTCCCCTCTCCTTCCCTCTTTCCCCATCACAACACTGGTTTCCTTCTCACCTTCGTGCCTCAAAGGCTCTTCCCTCCTCTCCTCCTCCCTCCTCGCCTCTTCCCTCCTCTCCTCCTCTCTCCTTGCCTCTTCCTTCCTCTCCTCCTTTCTCTCCTCCTCGCCCCTCTCCTCTCGCTTCCTCTTTCCTTCCCTCTCATCCCCCTTCTTTCCTTCTTTTTCCCTCTCCTCTCTCCTTCCCTCGTCCCCACTGACAAAATCGGCCTTCTTCTCGCCTCCATGCCTCCCCACCACTCCCCCATCCGCCCCCTTCCCCTTCTTCCCCCAATGCGCACTCTCTACCCCGCCCTCACTCCCCCCCTCCCCACCGGACACACCAAATACCCCCTTCCCAATCCCCCACTCCCCCCAATGCAGATTCCTTGCATGCTGAGGCTTCTTTCCACTCCACATCTCGCTGCAATGTTGCGTCCATGCATGCTTCTTCATGTCGTCCCGACGCTTGAAGGTCCGAGGGAACCCGGGATGAGAGCATGGGTGCTGGTGATTTGGGGGGGGAGGGGGGGGGGGGGGGTGGGGGGGGGGGGGGAAAGAAAACAGGTAAGGGAGAAACAAGCTGCGCCTAGTAGACCGCACTGATGCTTGTGAAGTTTGAGTTGTGAGGCATCTCAGAACTTAAAAAGCAAGTAGGAGGGAGTGAGAGGCGAGAAAGAGGAGGCTTGTGAAGCTTGTCTGTACTGTAGGGAAGGCGAGTGAGGTAAGTCAATTGAAGTGGAGGGAATGGGACGGGAGGTTGCAATACGGACAGGAAAGGGACGAGGGAAGGAGAGGAGGACGAGGAGGGAGTGAGAGGAGAGAAAGAGGAGGAAGGGAAGAAGTTGAAGAGGCAAGGAGGGAGTGCGAATAGGGTAACTGGGGGGCGGAGGGGGGGAGAGCAAGGGCAGCACACCTGGGGAGCATTGGGGTTGTGAACAAGAAGGTGCCTCTTTAACAGGTAGTTGAATGAGAACGCCTTTTGGCAATTGTCATGCGGACACACAAAATGCTGCAATGGAAGAGGCAAGAAAGGATGGAAAAATAAATGCAGTGACAATTTTGCAGAGAATTAGATCGCATCTACCCGACCGCACTGCTGCTTCCTCGCATGCTGCTTGCATGCTCCTGGTATGCTGCTTCCTTGCATGATACACCATGTCTCCTCAGCAGAGGAAGAATCACAAATACAAAGAAGTTGACTGCATTGCAGGAGAGGTGACTTAGGGACGATGGTTGAACGAGGAGGGAACGAGAGGAGAGAAAAGCAGGGACGAGAATTGACGAAGATGGGAAAGAGGGAACGTGGAAATGGGGAGGGGGGAGAGGGAAGGGAAATGGTGGGAAGAGGCAAGGAGGAACGGTGAAAGGGGGGCGGGGGGAGAGAGCAGTGGGGAGGAGCGAGAGGGGGAGCGAAGAACACGAGCTCACCTGGGAGGCATCGGAGTTGTGAGTGAGATGGTGCCCCTTTAACAGGTAGCTGAATGCGAATGGCCTTTTAAGAGGGATGGGAAAAAAAGGGGACAGGGCAAGGAGAACGGGGGAGGGAGAGGGGAAAGGGGGGGAGGGGAAGCGAGCGAGGGGGTGGGAGGGGAGGGGGAGAGAAGAGAGCTCACCTGGGAAGCATCGGAGTTGTGAGTGAGAAGGTGCCCCTTTAATAGGTAGCTGAATGCGAATGCCTTTTGGCAACCCTCATGTGGACACACGAACTGCAGCGGTAAGAGGCACAAGGGGTGGAAAACCATTGCAGTGAAAGAGTTTGTACCTATTTTTCAAATGCACTGCTGCTCCCAGCACCCACTAACACACGAGATGCAGTGAAAGGGGTGATATTGGAACGAGGGGACGAGAGGCACAGAAGAGAACGGGTAGACTTCTGAGTCTTCTAGAAAAAGACGAGGGGAAGAAGGGAGGGAAACCAGTAAAGCCGGTGGCACTAGATACATGCGGGTGTGAAGGTGTGAGAGAACGGGAGAGAGTGAGTGAGTGGGCCAGCAAGCAAGTGAGTGAGGGAGTGATTGAGGGAGCGAGTGAATCAGCAAGTGAGTGAGTGAGTGAGTAAGTGAGGGAGAGAAGCACACTTGCTTTGAGTGGTAGGCCATGTGACTTCTTAACCTTGACAGTGCAGCAAACGCCTTTCCACACTCCCCACACGTGTAGAACTTATCATGTCCCCACTTCCCCTTCTCCTCCTCCTCGTCCTCCTCTTCCTCCTCCTCCTCCTCCTCCTCCTCCTCCTCCTCCTCCTCCTCCTCCTCCTCCTCCTCCTCCTCATCCTCCTCATCCTCTCCCACCAAATCCACATAGTCCCTACCTTCCCCCCACACCCCTCCCCCCTCCCGAGCCTCTTCCCCCCCTGCATGTGACCCTCTAGCCCATCCCCTTCCGCCCTCTGACCCGTGTTCCCGGGAACATTGTGTTCCTGTGTTCCTCTCCTCCTTTCTTTTCTCCTCATCCCTTGCCTCCCCCTTCCTCTCTCCTTCCCTCGCCTACCCCTTCCTCTCTTCTTCCCTCTCCTCCCCCGTCTTTCCCTCTTCTTCCCTCTCCTCCCCCCTCTTTCCCTCTTTGTCCCGCTCCTCCCTCCTCTTTCCCTCATCCCCGCTGACAAAATCGGCCTTCTTCTTGCCTCCATGCCTCCCCACCACTCCTTCATGCACCCTCATCCCCTTCTCCCCCCCATGCGCCCTCTTTACCTTGCCCCCACCCCGCCCCTCCCCGCCAAACACACCAATTACCCTGCCCCTACTCCCCCATTCCTCCCCATGCTGCTTCTTTGCATGCTGTACCATGTCGCGTTGACGCTTAAAAAGTCGAGCGCAGTGGGGATGAGGGCATGGGTGCTGGGAATTGCGGGGGTTGGGGGTGAGGAGGGAAACAGAGAGAGGAGAAAAACGGTTGCACCTATTGGTATTAGACCGCAATGGTGCTTATTAACTTGTCTGTACTGTAAGGGAGACATGTGATGCAAGACAGAGGAAGAGGGGGAGGATTGGGATGGGAGGCTGCAATACGGACAGGAAGGGGCAAGGGAAGGAGAGGATGAGGAGGGAGTGAGAGGATAGAAAGAGGAAGAAGGAAAAGGGGGAAAGGCTAAAAGCAAGGGGGAATAAGGAAAAAGGGGGAAGGGGGAAAGGGAGAGGGCGAGGGTAGCTTACTCGGGGAGTATTGGGGTTGTGAGTGAGAATGTGCTCCTTTAACTGGTGGTTGAATGAAAATGCCTTTTGGCAATTTTCATGTGGACACACAAACTGCAGTGAGAGCAGTAAGGGAGAGACGGGACGAAGGGAGAAAAGAAAAGAAAAAAGCAGGTACTCTTTTAGGTCGACTAAAAAACGACGAGGGGATGAAGGGAAAAGGGTAGGTGTGAAGTGTGAGAGAAAGGGAGAGGCGTGTGAGTGAGGGAGCGAGGCCATGAGGCTGTGAGGAGTGAGTGAGTGAGTGAGGGAAGCACACCTGCTTCGAGTGGGTGGCCACGTGATAAATAAACTTCGACCGTGTAGCAAACGCCTTTCCACACTCCCCACACGTGTAGAACTTATCATGTCCCCACTTCCCCCTCTCCTCCTCCTCATCCTCTCCCACCAGATCCACATAGTCTCTACGTTCTCCCCTCACCCCTCCCCCCTCCCACGCCTCTTCCCCCCCTGCATGTGACCCTCTAGCCCATCCCCTTCCGCCCTCTGGCCCGCAAAGCCCCACCCCGCCATTTCCCATGCGACTATCCCCCATCCCGCCACCACCACCCCCCAGCTCTCGTCCCTCTGCCCCACCCGCACTTCCCACCAGCGCTCCTCCCTCCCTCCCACCACCCCATAACTCTCTCCTGCCGCCGCCCCCGTGGCATCCCCCTGTTTTCGCTGCATCCCTCCCCGTCCCCACTTCCCCCTCCCCAGGTTCACCCGGTGCTGCCTCGCCCAGCAGAACCCCTTCCGCCTCGGGGCCTTCATGCGCAGCCTCTGCGCCTTCCCCCTACGTGAGAACAGGCGGAATGGGCGAACCGAGCGGGACGGGCGGAACCAGCGCAACACGCTCGGCATTTCGCCCCTGCATGCAAACAGGCGGAAGCTCCGCGCCATCCCGCTGCGCCAGACGAGGCGTAAGCTGCCACGCGTAGCAATGCAAAGGCGGCGGGCCATCCGGCGGATTCGCACGCCCAAAAATCACGCCGATGCCTGTTGCCAGGGATTCGCGCGGGATGATGGTCGCGCCGATGCCCGTTGGGAGGCCCGTTACATTTCGCGATTCCATGCCGTAGCGGGCAGGACTCAAAATAAACCTTGCAGGACTAACTCGAATATAAGTGGCGACTCGAAGAACGCGCCGCTGCCGTTCCAATCCGAATCACATCCCGCAATTCCAACCCGTCATGAGGATGAATGTTTGTAACTTTTCGGCGTGTCTCAGTAAATCCGCGAGTAAAATGTGCCTGAAGGAATATATTAGAGAGCGTAGCGATAGCAAGAGAGTCTCTGCTATGGGAATGATGTTGCGCCAGCAACTTGGTAGAGTTTTGGTAGCGTTTGCCTCTAAGGGCGCGTGTGATCTATTTTCAAGTTACGAAAAAAAGTCGAACTTTGTGTGGTTACCAGCTTCGCCAATGTCGTCAAGACGCTTTGGCAAAGGCACGAGATTTTTGGGGGCACATAAGTGCGAATGTCAAATGTGAACTCAACTCGAATCACACGGGTGAACGTGCGGGTGCACGTGAGGCAAGTGTATGTTGTTTTCAGCACGTACGAAGGCCATCTGAAAATCACGACTACTTTGCGAAGGTCGCGGAGTTCCGTTGCACACTAAGTTGACGTGTCGTGCTGTACCAGGTACCCTACACCCCCTACGGGCGGTTCGCCGCCTTCCCTAAAAGGTCGAATCTCTGTGTTCGACCTTGGGTGTGTGATTGTGACTCGTCTGTGTTGGAGACCCAAGATTCGAACTTCGCTGCAAGGAAAGTCAAGTTTTGTTCAGATGCTACATTCGACCTAAAAACCAGACTTTCACGGATTTGTAAGACCACACACGCCCTAAGGACTTTGTGAGAATTGAAGTAGCGTTTGGGCCAAGTAGAATTGCAATATCAACTATCAAACACACAAGCAAACACAAACATATATAGGCAAGCAATGGTTGCACAATTGTTGCGTGGCGCTGCGAGTAACCCAACCCACACAAAAGTGTTGTGCACGTGGGTGAACGCGCCCCGCACATTTCCAACCCAACTCGGCACCGGAATGTCTCATCATGCACGCTACTCCTGCTAACACAGCAAGTGAGCAGCGTGCCTCACAAGCAAGGCACCTACGACCCCCAAGACTCGTCATTCCTAGCACCGATTCCGCCGAGTTCGCTGCAGTAGCTCACAGTCACCCGTAGTCACTAATGACCGCCACCAAACTTGTGCGTCGGTGTCGAGTAGACTCAGCCGTTAGGCGCCGACCTGCCAAGTCAAAGGTCATCGAGGGCCCTTGCTGTCATAGGGCCCTCTAACACTCCCCTGCCATACTACAGCAAAGCCCTTTATAATCACAGGGCATGCATACACACATACACACCAAAACAAAGGGATACACACAAACGAAACACGCTCAAAGTGTAAACACGCACCGCACCAGCCATGGATAGGCCATGGCACCATCCACATCATGGAGTGTCTAGGTCTCACTCCCCTCACTCGAGATCCGCACCTGCCCCACAGCCTCGAAGCAACGACTGAAGGCGGGGAAATGCAATGCCTTCGTGAGGTAGTCAGCAGGCTGCTCGCTCGTAGGGATGTACTGCAACTGCAGCTTCCTGCGCTTGACCATGTGCTGCAGCCACATGTGACGACGCTCCATGTGCTTGAGGCTCCTCTTCAGCCCCATGCCACCTGCCACTAAAATGGCGGAGGAGTTGTCCACAAACAGAGTCGTGGGCTCCTCACTCCTCAGCAGTTGAAACCCTGCCAGCAGGAAGCGCAGCCTGCGCGCCTCCTTCCCAGCCTCCACAGCAGCAACGTACTCAGACTCAGTGGAGGAGAGAGTGGCGCAATGAATCCTCTGGCTCGCCCATGAGACAGGAGCACCCCCGAGCACGAAGACATAGCCACCTGTGCTGGTCCTATTCTGCTTGTCCCTTGCATCATCAGCATCGGCGTAGCCCACCAGCTCCAAGGACTCCGGCCCACCACCAAACTCTAGCGCCACATCCCTACTCCCCACCAAGTACGTCAAGCACCGGTCCAACTCCTTCCAGTGCTGATCACTCCGCACAGTCTGGCCCGACCCCAGCTTACTGCAGGCGAACGAGATGTCAGGACGGGTGGTACAGGCCGCGAACTGCAAGGATCCCACCTTCTGCCTGTACTCCTCCTCCTGGCGAGACTGCCATCCCACATCCTCGAAGGTCTGCACACTGAAAGGGTCAGAGAAAAGAGGGGTGCAAGGCACTCGCAGCAGCTGCTCCCCGTCAAAGAAGCGCCTATGGACCTTGTCCACATAGGCCTCCTGGTGCAGCCACAGCCTCCTCGTGGGCCTGTCCCGAATCAGCTGCAACCCTAGATATTTCTCCACAGGGCTAATCTCCCGCAGCTGAAAGGCACTCTACAGCAGGTCACGCAGCTTCGCTAGCATGCTTTGACTGCGGCTGGCAGCAAGCAGGTCATCCACATACACCAGTAGCCAGCACATCTCCCCCTCAGCATCAGTCTTGAAGTACAGAGCCTCATCCACCTTGCTCTTCTTCCATCCAGCCCCAAGCAGCACCCCATCCAAGGCCTCATACCATAGCATCGGGCTCTGCTTGAGCCCATACAGACTCTTCACGAACTTACAGACACGAGGAGTCCCATCCTCGTAGTAGCTCGGCTGTTCCATGTAAAGATCTTGGTCCAGCACGCCATGGAGGAACGCGTTCTTCACATCGAGCTGCATCAGGTCCAAATCAAGTGCAGCTACAATCGCCAGAAGCACACGCGCCGTCACATAGCTTCCCACAGGGGCGTACGTCTCCTCATAGTCTACCCCTGCCACCTGCGTGAACCCCTTCACCACCAGCCTCGCCTTCTCACGCTCCACTATCCCATCAGGTCGGAACTTGGTGTTCAAAATCCAGCAGTTCTTCATCACATTCACCCCTGGCGGACGCGGAACCAACTCCCACGTCCCCCGCTCAATCAAGCTCCGCATCTCCTCATCCATCGCCTCCTTCACCTTGTCTCCCTTCCAGCAGCCCAAGGCCTCCTTCACTGTCATTTTTGCTATGTCCCACTGCCTCTCAGGATCAGCTGCCACGTCTGGGTCCAGGTTAGTCCACTCCTCGTCCTCCTCCTTGTCATCCAAGCCCGCTGGCTCAACCACTACAGCCCAAGCGTATCGGACAGGCGAGACACCACGAGTGATGCGAGTGGAGCGACGCAGTGGTGCAGTGGTCGTCCCAGAAACCAACACACGACCACCATCTCTAGTTCCCCACATCTCCTGCTCCCCTGTCTGCGGCTCCCCTGTCTGCTGCTCCCCAATCTGCTGCTCCCCTGTCTGCTGCTCCCCTGTCTCCTGCCCCCCACTCTGCTGTACTCCATCCATACTGATCTCGTCCTGCAGCTGCTCAGTCTCAAGGTGCTGCCCGTCGGTGATCTCCACAGACGGTGGCACCTCCATCCCCCCCTCACCAACGGGCGGCGCCGTGGAAGACGAAGAAGAGGGCGGAGCAGGTGCAGGAGGGATGGAGGATGGAAGGGGAGATGGAATAACAGGACGAGGAGGGGAAGCCAAGGCGGGTGAGGAGGAAGAAGGCGAGGCAGGGGGAATCACACGAGGGTAGACTGAAGGCGGAGGTGGGGTGGGGTCCGAGGTAGGGACATAGGGCATAGCAGGAGGTGCGACCACCTCCTCCTCCTCCTCCGCCTCCTCGAGAGTGATCGGGAAGAGTGAGGGAAGGGGCTCATAGGGCATCGAACGCCCCCCATGCTCCTGCTGATGCCAAGCCTTCCATCCTGCTAGGGACATGGTCTCATAGAGCACAGCTTCCATAGTGGTGATGAGGCGGTTGGACTCCAAGTCCAGCACGGTCTAGCCCTTGCTCGCAGCTGACACACCCAAGTGCAACCCCCAGCGAGCCTTAGGCGCCAGCTTCCCCCCACGCTGCGACTGTGGTACCATGTACTGCAGCATACAGCCCCAAACACGAACCATACTGACATCAGGTTTGCGTCGGAAGACGAGCTCGTACGGCGTCACACCAGAGGGTAGTGAGGCGTGCTCCACGCGGTTGCGCACCCAGACGGCCTGAGCTAGCTCCAGGTGCCACCAGTGATGCTGCACACCCATGTGCAGCAACATCGTCCGCACCGCCTCCACAATGCTCTGATCTCCCTCTCGGCCATCCCGTTTTGCTCCGGCGTGTACGGGCATGTGAGGTCATGGATGATGCCTTTACCGTCGAGGAAGAGCGTGAAGTCGTGCCCCAGGAACTCGCCACCTCGATCAGTGCGCAGCGCCTGCACCGTGGTCTTGCACTGTCGCTCTGCCATCGGGAGCCACTTCTGGAACGCCGCCAGCGTATCACTCTTCTGGGCCAAAGGGTAGGCCCAGACATATCGCGTCTTGCGATCCTTTAGCACTAAGAAGTAGCGGCTGCCGTCCTTAGCTGCTTCACGGAAAGGGCCACACAGGTCAGCATGCACCACCCCGAGCAACTCATCCTCCTCCTCTCCCACAGAAGGAAAGGTATGACGAGTGATCTTTCCCCCAACACAGGAGACACAAGGTATGCCTGACTTGCCCCCCTTCTCCAAATCCAAGCCCTTCACTGACCCGTGAGCCGCTGTGCGCTCGATGGCATCAATACCAACGTGTGCCATACGCGCATGCCACAGGTCCCCCTTAGACCGTACGCCCGTCGCCAAGGTACGAAGTGCCACCGTTTCGCCTTCCTGCTGCTGCGTCGAACACGGTTGGAAGTTCGTGCAGAGAACACACCCCTTGAACTCTGCACGACCAAGGAGCGATCCATCTGGTGCCCGCAGCAAAGTCACATCCCCGGCATCCAGCAGCTGCACACCACTATCACGCAGCTGCCCAGTAGAGAGAAGACTCGCCTGCACTCCTGGTACGTACAGCACGTCTGGCACCAAGACACGCGTGCCCCCCTCCCGTAGAAGAGCGACTGTGCCTCGCCCCTGCACCTCTTGAAGGGCGCTGTTGAAGCCAGTAACCTGCTTAATGCTGCCACCGCTGCTCATCTCCACAAAGGCAGAACGATCTCCCATGAGATGGTGGGAGCATCCGCTATCAAGCAGCACGACGCTCGGGCTCGCCTTCACAGCAGCTGCAACAGCCTGTAAGCCCTCCCCGGCCTCAGGCTGTAGCACAACGAGAGGAGTCTGCTCCTCAACTGGCTTCACCATCGCACATGATGACTGCCCGCTCCCCTTAGAGCCATCACCCCCCTTTCCGCTGCTACCTCCAGAACCCTCTCCACCGGTGTCTGCCTCCTTATCCGCCCGCTGCTGACAGTACTTAGCAACATGCCCTATTTGTCCACACACATAGCACTTCCCCTTGAAGCCCCCTTTCCCCCCCTTCGGCTGGCCATCCTTACCCCCTTTCCACTTCTCCCCTTCCCCATCAAGCCCACCCTCATTCTTAGGCTGCTGCTGCTGTGTTGTAGTGGGAGGGGAAGGGAATGAAGTCTGTTGGAATTGGGGCTTACCCTTCTTGGTAAAGACCTGGTTAGCCTGGGAAAGGAATTGGTCCTTTCGTCCCTTTGCCGCCAGCGTACACTCCTCCTCGATGATGTAGCTAGCGAGGGTGTCCTCGTCCAACTCCTTGCGCACCTGCGGCAACTTCAGCATCCTGCGTAAGAGGTTGTACTGCTGCGGCAACCCCTTCACAACGTGAGTGATGTACGACGCCTGCGAGTAATCTACGCCGGCCATCCTCAGGTTCACTAGGATCTGCTGCGCACAGTTGCAATAGGACGTAGCGGACTCATGCTCTCCCATCTCAAGGTTAATGAGCGCCTTCTCTAACTGACCGATGTACAGATCGTCCTTCGCCATGTACGTGCGCATAATAAACTGCCATGCCGAATAGCCGGCATCGACCTTCATGCGACACGCCTTAAGGGCGATCTGTACGGTTGGGGAGCAGCATCGGGAAATGGTGGTGAATGTCAGCAACTGCATAGCGCGGAACTGAGAGAGATGCGCAAGTGCACGCGCTGGTGGAATGGGGGTGGTGCATTCTATGAATCACTCTAGCTTAGCGATCTCAAGCTGCGGCTCGATTGATTCTGTCCACGTCGACAGGTCGTGACGTCCTTCTAATGGCCCAATGACAACGATCTTGTCTGGAGTGAATCTGAAGTCGCCATAGTTGGGGGCTATTCCCTCGTCCCTTAACATCGATTCAATTGCGGTAACGCCCGGCATAGCCTCACTATCGAACTCTTCCGCAAATCCTCCTCCAGCAACGCTCCGCCATCCTACATTCGCATGCTCTCGTGAGGCTGCGGCACGATGAACACGCTCCTGTACACCGCCGACGCTAGCCGTACTAAACCGAGTTGGTCCTCGCAGGACCCCTTGTGACATAAACCCATCAAACTCCTCGTCATCGCTATTTCCGCCATCGACAGCCATATCCCACGCACTAGTTGTCAAACATTTATCATATAGCTTGTATAGGCTATAGTGGGGTAGACACTATGGGGTACAATTTCCTAGGGTTTCCTACTTGTACCCAATCTTGTGCTAGTTCATTCATTCCTCATTTCTTCACATGGTATAGAGTAGGTTCCCTAATGGGAACGCTTCCTTGGGCCCACCACTGAATTTTTTTTTTTTCGAACCGGAGCGTCAGTCGCTCCTGCCCAAGGCCCACCTTGTGGGCCGCCCTTCTGTCGAACTCTCTTAGAGGCCCCTCTCACGGCCCCTCGCGCCACCCTTAGCGGCCCCGTCGCCGCCCCTAGCGGCCCCGTCGCCGCCCTTCCAGGCACCTCGCAGCCCCTAGCGGCCCCGTCGCCGCCCCTACGCGGCCCTGTCGCCGCCCCTAGCGGCCCCGTCGCCGCCCCTAGCAGCCGCGTCACCGCCTCTCTCCCTACGCGGCCCCATTGCCGCCCCTACACGGCCCCGTCGCCGCCCCTAGCGGATCCGTTGCCGCCCCTACACGGCCTCGTCGCCGCCCCTACGCGGCCCCGTCGCCGCCCCTAGCGGCCCCGTCGCCGCTCCCCTCCCTACGTGGCCCTGTCGCCGCCACTACGCGGCCTCGATGCCGCCCCTACGCGGTCCCATAGCCGCCCCTCGCGGCCCCGTCGCCGCTCCCCTCCCTACGCGGCCCCGTCGCCCGCCCCTACGGCTAGCGCTGCTAGTCTACTGCTGTCATGGCTACCCCTAGTGTTCTCACTTTTGACGCTGAGGGTCGGGCCATTGACTTCGATGTCTGGGTAGATGACCTACAGCTTTTCCTACAGTGCGATAGGGCAGACGGTCTCTCCCTCTTTGACCTCACCTCTGGTGCTTCCCCTGCCCCTGCTGCCGATGCTGACGCCACCGTTCGCTCACAGTGGGCCACTCGCGATGCTGCTGCACGTCTTGCTGTGCGTCGCCACCTTCCTACCACTGAGCGCGCGCACTTTAGTCAGTACAAGAGTGCTCAGACCTTGTACGACGCTGTAGTTGCGCGCTACTCTTCCACTGCCATTGCTGCACTGAGCCGCCTCATGCTACCGTACCTCTTCCCTGACCTTGCTGCCTTTCCCACAGTCGCTGACCTCATTACGCACCTCCGCACTAGTGACACTCGCTACCGCGCTGCGCTTCCTGCTGACTTCTGCGCTAAGAACCCCCCCCCATGTACATCACTCTCTACTACTTAGTCACTCGCCTCCCTGACTCCCTTCGAGTTGTCACGGACCACTTCCTCTCAGTCTGTCCCACCACTCTCACTGTTGACCTCCTCGAGAAGTCTTTCCTAGCGGCCGAGAAGAGCATAGTCGCTGTAGGGGCCTCTCGTGGTGACCCGCGCACCCCCATCTTTGAGGGGTGTTCCCCCTCCCCCCTTCTGCCCTCCGTTGCCTCTGCTGCTGCGGCCGACCTCCTTGGTCTTGAGTCGGTCGGTGCGGCGTCTGCCCCTTGCGAGAGACGCCGCTCTGGCAAGGGCAAGGGGGGCAAGGGCGCTGGAGGAGCGAGCGAGGGCGGTGGAGGTGCAGGTGGAGGTGGCGGGGGGAGTGGGGGTGGCGGTGGGAGTGGAGGTGGGGGTGGAGGAGTTGGTGGCGGCAGTGGAGGCAGAGGCGGCGGCAGCGGTGGCGTTGGGAGCGGAGGTGGCGGAGGAGGTGGCGGTGGAGGAAACAGCGGAGGCGGCGGTAGTAGCGGAGGCGGCGGAGGCGGCAGGGGTGGCTATGGACCTGGTCGCAGGACTACGCAGAGGAGTTGCTCTGGTGGTGGTCCGCGCCAGCAGCAGCAGCGCGGTCGTGAGACCCTGTCCCCTCAGCAGCTCCGCGAGTGGTACACTGCACGCCAGCGGGGTGGGGGTTTTAGTCCATGCACCTACGTCCTGCGCACCGGCGACCGCACGGGTGAGCAGTGTGGGGGTGCGCACCCCACCCAGCGCTGCTTTAGCCGCCTGACGGACGTGTGGCGTCACCACTTCCCGGAGGC